CCTGCAAAAGCACAGCACTAAAGTTATCGGTCCTCCACTTTCAGAGTAGGTAACACAAGTAGCAGGGATACAGCGAGAACATCTTACACTGGCTTTTGCTTTTGCAGAGAAGCTCCCTTTTTGGGAGGGAGAAGGACGACCTGTGGCAAACTGAGTGTTGAGCACCATAGCTACACTGCTCGGTTAATCCCTGACAAACTGACAGACATGAGATATGTGGAAGTTACAGGTTGGGTACCTGAGTGCCATTTTGTCATTGCTGTTGAGCACACCAAACAGGGCTGTGTCTTGATGCCAGCTGTACCTGTTACAGCTTTGTCAGCCAGCTGCCTCACCTACCTTGATGCTACACAGCGTATGTTTTTAGCAGCTGCGAAATGGTGGCTGGGGCTCGTGTGAAGAAGTGAAAGGCTCTACCACTTCTCAGCACGTAGAACAGACATCTTTTATTACTGAGGAAAGGAAACTGAGTTTACTATTTATTTTTTGATACAATTAAAAGAGGAACCCTGGGAAAAAGTGTTATATACAAAATACCTGTGATAAACAGAGCAGCTCACCTGGTACAAAGACCCAGATATTAAGCTGAAAAGGTCTCTCAGAAACCATTTGTGTGCAATTCACTGAATACAGCATAAGGCAATAGGAAACATGATTCATAGTATAAGTGCTTAAGGAAAAAATAAACTGAACAACCCGCCCATCAAGAATATAAAAACAAACTGATGCTAGACATATTTGTCAGCGAAACTTTTCGTTTCCTCTAGGAGTTAAAGTGTCACAGGAGTCTGTGGTGATGTAGAAAGGTTCGGCACAGTGCAAAAGACAAACCCTTCTCCAGGAGGCTGTGCAATCATCAGTCAGGAGCAGAAGCAGAGCAGGGGATAATCAGAGGGAAGATGTTGTGCCGGTACAACTGCCAGAGCTGCGGTGTGGTTGGTAAGGTGGAAATGCATTGTGGTTATAGGAGGGAAGGAAGCACAATGCTGAAAATGAGCAAAGTAAATACAAAAAGAGGGTGTTCAGCCTGCAAGAAGCTAGTAGTATGTGCTGGAAGGAGCAAGCATAGACTGAAAGAAAAGGAAACTTGAAGAATATGAGACACTGTTGCCCGTACACCAAGTCCTGCAATAAGGTCAGGCTGCCTTTTGGAAACGTTGCTTTCTGTGTCACCTGTGTTCTGCTTGCAGCCAGAATGCACACGTGCAAAGAGTATTTTTTCCTTATCACCCACCTTGTTTCCTTTTCTCTGTCAAAAAACCCTCCATAAGAATGTTCTGACGTTCCCATTTAACTTAATACAATGGGAAAGCAGTAAAAAAGCTGGTGGGGCAGCATGACTCTGCAGGAGTGGAGAGGGAGCAGTGTCTTATTTTTTACTAGTGACTTGATCCCTTAGCCTCTCATAGCTCAATCCTCTATAAACCGCTTTTAGTCCTCCTATTTCCTCCCGCGATTTCTCTCTCAGTATGTACCTGCTAGAAAAAAGTGAAATGGATGGAATATTTCTTTGCTGTGTCCTAGCAAGATAAACAGCTCAAGCAACAAAACATCCCACAAAGAGGATGGCTTTCAGACTTTGGTCTGCCCTGCTAACTACACACATGGATAGAACAGTAAGGGAATGGGTACAGCTTGCAGTGGGACAGAGCAAAAAGGAAGAACAAACCTGTCAAACTCAGGGCGGGGTTGAGTTAGGTTAGTATGCAGTTGCTTAGGAAGCTCGTTGGGGCTTGGGTTTTTTTCTTCTTTTCCCCTCAAAATGAGAAACCACTTTCCTACACAGTAGGCAAGAATATCACCCAGATCAGATGAGTCCTATCCAATGTTAGCACCCTGTAGGGAACTTCCTTCAAGTCCTGGCTGGGTAGAGAGAACGCTGGCAGAAAGCAGCAGCATTCAATGCAATGTAAATCCCTATGTCGCTGTGAGAGACTCCCAAGAATCTGGAGAGCCTACCCGAACACATATTTCTAGGCAAATGTACGAACAAGAGCAGACCTATGTTTATGAAGCAAGGCCCTGAGTTACATTTCATTACAGTAGATACATGTGAGATAACCACTGAGTGTTACAGAAATTTAAATGGGGCTTTACAGGTGTGGGTAGGAAGGAATGCGTATAAAAGCTTGTACTTGTGTACGCGCAAAGGTGTGCACGTGCGTGCACTCACCAGCCACCACCAGCGGGCTGCGCTGTGTCAGATGTGCTCCTGTATCTCTGAGTAATTTAACGGAGGAGCTGTATCTTGGTACCCGGGTTGGCAAGGCCATCCTTTCAGGAGAGAAAGGTTATGAAAACTTCTGCCATTGCTGCAGATAAGCAATATTGGTTATCTGTTAGGTGTGCCATCAGCATGTGTCATTCCCTAAAAAGGCTTGTAACACTGAAAACAAGCATGAGGCATATAGTCCCACCTCAAGGTGCTCTTTCATGAAAAGTGTGTGCATTATTGCCTCTTTAGGGGAGAAGGGACATGTATCTGTAATGGTCAAGTCCAAATCCAAAGTCCTCCAGCACGAAGAACAGTACTGGCAGATACCTGTGCGAGGCTGAATATGAAAGAAGTTTTAGCTGCTCCCAGTCGCAACACGGAGGCACAGCCTGACTTGAGATTGTGTGTCGGGGTCTGGGGTCTCCCAAAGGCCAGCTCTGCATTACTAAAGGGGTAGGTGGGTGTGGGCTACCTGCTAGGGCTCTGCAGGCCCCCTGATCTTCATAGAGGCAGCATCAAAGCCAGAGGATCCCAAACTCTTGAACTGGTGTGTTGATGCTGATGACACTTCACTTCTGCCCCGTTGCAGGAACACGGAGGGTCTTCCCAGTGGGAATTCCAGTGACCCCGTTGTAACGAGATCACCCCATAGCTTCTGTGGCGTAGGTGGGGTTTTATATTAATTCACACAAGATTATGTTGTCAGTCTTCTTGAGCAGAGTTTTCTACTGCTGTCATCCCCTTTCAGAGAGCCAAAGGGTCAATGCAATAAGGATTGCTGTACAACGAACAGTGGGGACTGCAGTGTGGAATACACAGGATAAGAAACCTGAAGGACACAAAGAAAAGATTTTACTGATTTTCCCCCCCTTCTTCTTAATCCTAAATGTAAGCCAGAATGTTGCAGAGCCGAGACAGACGGGGATCACCTGCGATAGCCCTCCACAAGAGGGCTCCTATTACAGTAAAGACAGAGCAGTTCAGAGCTACACAGCTCAAGACGGGCACTGCAGTCAGCTACAGACTGGCTCAACGCTTACTGTGAAAACCTTTGGACCATACAGAGGTGCTATCCCTCTGCAAAGTGAGGACGACTAATGAATGCGCTACCCTATTTAAGCAGCAATAGGACATGGCTCAGTGCATCACATAGTTATGAGATGACAGTCAGCCACTAAGGAAGCACAGCTTCCATCCCTGTCTACAGCCGTTCCAGGCACTGGAGTTGGGAAACATCAGCCACTTATAGAAGAAGCCTGGCAAACTTTTATAACAAAAGAGGAATGTGGCAGAATGGATTTATTCAGTAGGTGAACTCCCGCCACTCCCATCACAAAACCCCCCAGAATTCATGCTAACCAAGGCTCTAGTATCTGTTCCAGATAGGGCCTTCCCCAGAGGAAAACATGAGTGGGTGCTCAAGTTTGGAAATGAGATGAGTGGTCTGAATGATAGTTTCCCCTCCTTTCCATTTCAAAAATGTTAAGCTTTTAGATTACTGCAATGTACAGTGTGACAAATTCATGACTTCTAGGATTCTACAGCTGTTACTCTACAGCATTACCCTGGCAATTCAGCATGCTGTAGTTGAGAGCAGGAAATGCAGTCACCTGGATAATGATGCGAATAAGAAGAATAAGAACAATTAGCTGCTAATCTTTCCTTAAGTCTCTTGACCTGAATAACGTCTTTTTGGAAGACACAGCCCTGAATACAGCTGAGCTTTCAAGCCAAAATGAATATAATGCTTTGTAGTCATGAAACCTTGGTAAGCCAGACTTTTCCCCAGCCCATCCTTCAGAACACCTCATTATTGAAAGCAACTCCTTTTAAAATATGAGCGTTTCCTGGGCAAGTCTTAGAGGGGAAACTTTTCCTTCTCCTTTCCTCCTGCTGCTGAAAGGAATGGAGATATCTCAGAAGTGGACTGGCATTGCTAATCTTACTGGGAAAGCTGGAGTTGTTCTCTTGTTGTTCACCTCTCCCTCACCACCATTTGGTCAATACTTCCTTTCTGTCATCAGTGATGTTCTCGTGTTTGTGCATCAGATCAGGCACGTGGCTCACAGGGCGTCAGCCAGAAATAACCTCTAGGGGATGAAGCCACATGTGGGAGCTGTTGTAGTGATGAGCTACTCACAAATGAGTCCAACAGGACAGGAACTAAAGGACTGCCCAGTTCTTACTTGGGAGGCCCACAAAATGAGCACAATGGCAGTGGCAGGGGATGTCACTGCAGATCCTGATAGATGGATGACCGTGCCACAAACCCACCTCTCAGATATTAACCAGCTGCCTTACACAGGTTCAGAGGAGACACTGACAGTCAAAGTTGTCAAATGTTCCTTCTCTTTCATCTCTCTCTCTCTTCATCCCCATTTAGTCCCTAAAAATTTATGTTAATTAAGGAAATGAATGCCACAAAATCTTGCACGCCATCCATGCAGGGCCCATTCTGTGGAGAAAGCAGCTTAGCAGCCCAGAAAATTCAGTTCTCTAACATTTTTCACTAGATTCGTTTCTAGAAATTTGACATTACCCAAACGAAGCAATGCCCTACAAGCAACATGAGCATCATTCCTCTAGTTACTTGACCAGGAAACACCATGTGTCTGAGTTGGCAATAGGGCCTTACCGCTTTTGTTTACCCTAAAGGACAGCACACACATATTAAAAGCCATACGTGGTTTTGTGAGCTAACATCGCACAAGAATCTAATAGTATTTGAGAAGCTATTTTGCCAAGAGAAGAATGGTGAAGAAAACTACCTGCAAATGCGACCTGGTCATACAGATGATGTTTCAGATGTCACTTTAGAGCTCACAGGTGGCTTCGTACATTCTTTCACACCCTCTTCCACTGAATCCTGAGGCTTACAACAGTGAGAACAGACTGAAAAAGAAGATCCCTCATTAGTATTTGGAATTCCAGAAGACATAAAAGTGCTGAATCCAAATGTCTTCTTCAACAAAGTAAAGTAGAACTGAAAGTGGGAAGAAAGGAGAGAAGAAATTAAAGAAAAAGAAATCTTTTAGATCTAGTTACTTCTATTTTTCCTTGGCAGGACTCATCCCTGCAGTGCATCTGAATATGGCTGGCCCATAGCCATAGTCTGATCTGATAGAAAGCTCTGTTATATACAAATGTTATCTATATAGTGTCATATAGATAAAACAGTTCTCATTAGCACAGGGCTAGGACCTCAGCCTGGCACAAAGACAGGTTGCTACATGCTAAGATAAGGTCAGAAGGGAAATAATGGTAAAAGTTACATGTCACTAAATGCAGTTTACCAAGCAAGTGAAAGAATGCCGGTGTTAGAACCAGCCAACCAACTCTTTCAGTGCTTTAAAAGGAGTTCAGATTAAACAGGTCCCCTTAGTATCTCAGCATCTATGAATGACTTTTGTTTTAATTATTCAAGTTGAATCTCTTTATACTATTACAGCAAATTGTACTTGCACAAATTTTACAACATGGATCCTAAGCTATTCTTTAAGTGACTTCTAATCTTGGCCTAATCTTGGTGCTTTGTGTTAAATTAATTGAAGAGCCAAAAAAAAAAATCTAGAGCATTTCCATTCTTAAATTACTGCAAAGATAGGCTGTGAGTGCCTCAAAGTAGGGGTTTGTGAACCTCAACAAAGCATCTACATGTTTTGATCACCACCACAATCACGCATCTGAGAACTCTTATTTCTGTTTTACTCTATCTTTCTATTCTTCCCTCCCACACTTCAGCTCTTTGAAGCATGGCTTTTTGAGCTCAGAAACCACTCTTAGCATCAAAGCAGCTCCTGACTCAGCTTTCCATATGCCAGAACAACAGAGGTACTCTCAGACCTATTCTGAGCTCCCACAATAGCTCTTGAAAGGTGACCTGTACAACACCAGCAGGAAGCACTCTTAGGACAGATATTTCCCTTCCCAGACAGGTGGCAATGCACAGCAGCACCGAAATGTGACAACTGTACAAACTGGGAAGTTGGATTGAAGCTCTGGCTTCAGTTTCTTACAGTATACGCCTGGTCTGGAAGGTGGCTGTGCAAAATAGCACCACCTGACTCGGCAAATCTACTCCCTGGGCATATTAGGAAAATGGGACTGAAAGGGAAATTCCAGTTTAGGCAGCCATGTCCCATGCGGTTGCAGGTGATCACATTCTACCACATTGGTATGCTTTTTACATCTACTTTAAAAGCAATTTGGTTTCTATATAAAAGGTTATCTCAGAATGCTCCAAAATCTTACTAATTTAATGCTAAGGAACCTTTTAATTTCCAGCCTATATTTGTTTAGAGCCAAATCTTCCAACTCCAGTTCATTTTCTCCTATAATTAGAAGTTCATTATCCATGCAGCTAACAGCACAGGCTCTGATCAGCTGTGATTTTCTTGGTTTAAACGTGCTTGCTGCTTTCTCATTGACATAGCTCCAGGGAACAGCAGGGGAGAACCAGCACTGGTGTCAGAGGGGCACATGAGTGGAAAATGAGGAGGTGCATAGGTGTAGCCAAGAGTCACTGCCTTCCAGAAGCTTCCTTTCTTTGTGATAAAACACCGAAAAGAAAACTAGCCCAGCCTGACTCAGTGGTCACACCATTCGTTTTTGAAGGGATGTGGTTGGTGAGGAGGGGAAAAGAAAAACAGCAATGCTACCTCCACACCTCTGACTTGGGAGTGAACTTGTCTGAAATTGAAATAGAGGTAGCAGAAGACACAAGCATGACAAACTTACAAGTGTCCCTAAGTGAACTGAGTCCCTGGTGCCTAACAAATAACCTCTTTCCAACGGGGAATACCACTGCTACCGTGATGAGCTAAGATGCTCAGACTGGTGGCTTCTGGTTTAAGTGGGCTGAACATAGAGTGCTCTCAGTGTGGGATTCTTGCCTCCAGCCTTGACTTCCCCAGCGCCCTGACAGAACTTGACTGGGTGATATTTATAACGTGTTGCAAGGATTGCTGTCTTTCTCCAGGACTGCTTTTCTAAGCTGCTAACAGGGTGTGGATAGGACATTTACTGCTCCACACTGGCTGGATACCTAGCTGCCTTTATAAATCCATCGGATGTCTACCCACATCTTCAGGGGCTTTCTGGCTAGGTCAGCTTAGACATGATTAGGAGCAACAGCTAACAGATGAGATTTTTTTGAGCAACAAAAAAAAAAAAATGTACTCAGCTGCCAGCTAACCCTAAGATGCTTGAGGTCCCCTTTACCATTGAAAAATTCCTGGAGACATGCCTGGAGTTACTGAAGACTTCATAGGGTGGGACAGAGCACCTCACCTGTGCCGTTTTTGGCCACACAAAGATGACAAATCCATCTCTCCTGATCGGGGTTCTCCTAAAAGTGGGACATTGCTATGCTTAAGTCCTTTCTGTGGCCCTAGCACTATGTATTTTTGTAGCTTTGGCTCTGTGACTTTTCTGAGCGATTGTCTAAGTAGAGTGTGTAGAGAGATCGCATTCTGAAACTGTCAGTGCTCAAATGTATCTATCATGATCACCAAGATTCTTGGCATCTTCAAGCATCTTAATACATAAAAATGGACCTTTGTTAATCTCTTCAATTCTTTATACCCCTGATTTTGGAAATATTCTGATCTGCTGTCAAAACTCCCCATCACACCTTCACTCTCAAACCTGAACACTAGTGCTGTGTGCACAGAAAATGTAGGAAGGTCCTAGGCTGGACTTAGATTTTGTGACAGTAGATGCTGCATTAAAAAAAAAAAAAAAAGGAAATGAGAAGAAGGTACAAAAATACCTAGTGTGTCAGTATAGTTTCTATAAATGTGTATTTTACATAGAAACTCCATAAGCAGTAAGAAACTGTTTCCTGAAAAAGGAGCTAGACTTACCATGCCTTAAGAGGTATCTTGCTGCTAGGGTGATAGCCAAAAGGAAGATAATAATGATGATACTTGAAGCAGTAATGACATTATAAGATGGAGGCACAGTAGGGACAATGCAGTCATTTATTTTTCCTGAGACAGAAGAAATAAAACATAAATAAAGGGCTCAACAACATATTGGCATTTTTATGTAAGGGCAAGTATGTGAATTTTGATGGTTCTGGCCAAATTCTAACTCAGATACTCAGCCTGAAAATTTACCTATTGAATAAACAAACAGACAAAGCTGGCACCTACATTTCTTCCATTCCCCCACATTTGCTATGTGCTGAAATTTTTAACACATCCGCAGAATCTGAAATGCTGGGTCTTTGTCCAGAACAGAACTGAGACAGGCAATATTTAAAAACACATAATCTGTTTTTAAAGAAACTGGTTAGGCTTGGTGGAAAAGTCTGAGATCATATCTAGAAAACTTCCATTCTCAAAGGTACTCTGGAGTTTTTCTTATTGTTTTCACCAGATTTATGCCTAATGGTTTTTTCCCTCTGAATTCACAGGTGATGGAGAATGATGCATTAAACAGACTAGAGTAGACTTTTTTCTGTATGGCAGGAAAAGAGTGTTGTGGCAGAGTTCAGTTTCAGTGGATCTGGAGCCTTTGGCTTTTCACCACTGGACATGACCATTCTGCCACTTGGACATTGGTGTAGATAATGGGCCTTCCCTGTACAGTAGAGGACAGCCCTAATTCAACAGGAGGGACAGACTTGGTGCATGTTCATAGGTCTTCAGATTTTCATCATCTGCACCTGGCACAATTAGGCATCACTCAACTTCTAAGACACCAGCCTGATCCACTGTACAATCTTCCCCTCCACTGCAAGGTTTGCCTCCTACATTTACCAGAGGCTGTATTCTGTCTGGAACTCTGTGTTCATGAAAGACTTGTTTGGAGGACCATTTCCACCATACCAAAATGGGAGTGGTTCCACATCTTAAAAATCAAAAAGTGGGGGTTTTGTGACTGCTGTTGTCACTGTTGATTGCACCATCCTCTGAGCATCAGTGTGACAAGAGTGTATTACTATTATTACTTTTTTTGTTGCTCTCCTTTTCTATGTAGTGTGATATTCTTAACGCCCTTCCATTACCATCTCTAGGCACATTATGCACTACACCCAGCAATAACCAATATTTGTAAAGCGCTAGTTTCTAGCATTCGTCCTGAAGCTGAATGGCACCTCTCCTCATGAGCCCCTTTGATTTTAGTAAGATTGATGAATAAGGTACCCTGATGAATAAGGTACAATTCCCTAGGAAAAATAGTGCTTCTTTAGCTTCCCTTGAAGGTGCCCTTAACTCTACAGTGAAAACATCAGACCCAGAGATATTTCAGAATACTTTTTTGGTAACAATGTTAAAAAAAAATCCTTTTGGCTTTAAGAATTTTCTTGCAAATCCCCTTCTACTGCAAAACATCCGGACTGTAGAGTGCTACCTTCCCTCATGCTGTTTCCACTTGTGCCTCAAGCTTTTCAAAGCACAGACTTATCTATTATGTTATCACTTTTAAGCCACGTGCAGTGATGGAATTTTTTCCGTATGAGTTAACCTTATATTAAATATGTGTATGAAAGCAGAATTTTGTCTAGACCCCAGCTGACAGTTTCTGTCATTGAAGCAGGAACAAACATGCTTGTTAAATGAGGAAATTCTTTTTAAGTGCAACCTTTAAGTGCTTTTAAGGCACACACATTTCTCAAGTCCTTCCATTCGAATACCAGGTCTGTGTCATGCAAAAGGCAGCGAGACCATGCTGGTACAGAGGGGCACTGAATGGTGGCAACCCCCAACCTGTGGGAGCCACCGAGGCTGACATCAGCAGATCACAATGGGATCCAGTTGCCCTCTCAGCCCAGCTGTGACTCACAGTAGAGCAGCAGGAAGACAGAGCTGTCTCTGGTTGTCAGTCACTGTCATAACTCTCCTCTCACACCCCTGCTGTCTTACAGCCTTTGACATATTTTGGTGTGCAGCTTACAGGTGGGATCACTGGGTCATCCTTGCATGAACAGATAGACAAAATCTATCGCTTTCTCAGAGAGGCAACTCAGCAGATTCAACAAAATGGTTTTGTAACACAAACTATTAAAAAAACCTACTCAGAAGCAAACTGGTGGACTTGGCAAAGCCATTGTGTTCAATGGAGCAAGTGATGCTGATGTCTTTTGTCACGTTGAGCAACAGTTTGCCAGTGACGTTGTACGGGCTGAGGCTGGACTCGGACACCCAGCTGGCATTCCACACCACGGACACGTTGTTGAGGGCTCCAGAGATTTTGGGTTTGGGGAAACCTCCATGAGAAGAACATCTTACCACCATCTCAGTTGATTCACAAGAATGAGCGGATACTTCTGCTGTTATGTTCGGCTTACTGAATTCAGCTGAAGCAAGAAAGATTTAGTTACCATTCTGTCAGATTACAGCGAGGGCTGCAGTCCTGATCACCCACGGTCAAAGCAAAGACTCCCCCACAGGGCATTCTTCCTCTATCATAATCTGTTTGGCCTTTCTTGTGCCTTAGTGTTCTCCCCACAGCCTTGACTGGATATGGCCTTAGCCTTTGCTTCTTCTCCTCCCTGGCAGAACACAGACTTCATGACCCCACCTCTCCAATGCCACCGTTTCTCTCTACATACAGCAGTTTGTGGAACAACAGAAGGAATCATAAAACAGGTAGGAAAAATACAGGACTGAATAAAAATCCGTATTACAGGCAATGGTAGACCATTTCCTTTTCCCTCCCTCATTAGTCCCAGCCAGAAGCTCACAGAGGGCCCATCTCTACTGGGAAAGGAGGTGAGTCACATGTTGGTCTCTCAGCCGAGATGCCCAGCAAGAGACTGAATTACATTTTCTGCATGGGAGCCCCTCCAGAAGGTCCAGCTGAGAGCAAGACCCAGTCATACTAGTCATTGTTGCAAAAATGCGTAGCAATACACAGACCATATTTTCACTGGACTTTTTTCTCATTGCCAAAGACAGTTTTCAGAGGTTTCCCACCCACACAGCTTGTTCCATGCCTTCCTGCCCCGTCAGATGTATTGCTGCAAGTGTTTGTGAGGCTGCATGGTGAAATGGATGAGAGGACTAATACGAGTGAAAAAGGAGAAAAAAGGTGGTGTCATTTTTAGCCTGCTTCCCTTTGCCAATCTGCTTCATCTTGTTACTGTAAACAGTTGTGTTGGTACAACTGAGGATGCCCACGGGTTGCAAGAAACAGCCCAGGGTGAGGAGGAGGAGGCAAGGCGTGGCAAAGGAACTATTTAAGGCAACTCTCCCACTGGAAAAATCTCCGTGGGACCACACCTTCAGCAAGAAAGGCACCAGACTGAAACAAAAACTCAGTGTGTGGCTTCCTGGTGGGCGTAAGTCACACCACACCACCGCTGCTAAAGGGACCAAATTCTCCCTCCCACCCCTGCCAGCTGTAGGTCTGTAGCCTGCACACCCCCTCAGGCACTAGACCCAGCCACGGCAATGCCAGGCAGAGAGCTGCAGCAGGTTGCTCAACTCACTGCAAAATGACCCTTTTTGGAGCAGCTAGGGTTTTGTCTGCGATTGCCCCCTGCCTGACTCACCATTTGACCACATGACTGCTGGGATAAGGCAGACAGCCTTGTGGTCATAGCGCGTCTTCTATGGCTTAGGCTGACCACGAACCCATGGTCTAGGCTACCGAGTAACTAGTGAAAGAAACTCACTCAACATTGCACGGCCAACCAGTGGCAGATAAGGAGAGACCTGGATTTCCTTCCAGGCCTGCTATCATCTGTTGAGCAATGCAGCATTGACATCCAGTCTGGAAAGTCCCTTCAAACACCCCAGTCGACTTCACCGCAGCTCCCTTATCAGTCACCAGGGAGTAACACCTTTCTGCCTCTCTCAGGGTAGCCTGATTCCAGCAGGGGCAAGGGGAGCTTTCCCTTTCCTGATCCCCACAATAACTGATCCCACTTTTCCAAAGGGAGCAGAAGTCTACCACAATTGTTACAACTGGCCTGTTAAGACAGCAAGGGGATTTCTGGAAGGAAAGAAACTGGACTATTTGCAGGAAGGAAGAGAGATCCTTTGTTTCATGTTTTTCATGCAGTTAACTCCTCAGCCCTCACAGCTAGAGAGGGTGCTGGCAGTGCACTTCCCTTTTTTCATATTGGTTCCCAGAAAGATCACTAAATTTGTCTCCTTGCACATATGCCCACCATGCCCTCAGACAGGCAGGCAATGGCCAAACCTCAGGAGCTTGGCTTTTTTTGCTGACGAATCTCATTCCAGATGGGGAATGCTCATTCACTGGCTTGTCTGGAAGATTCCTGGAACTCTCTGCTGCTAAAGGTATTCAAATGTATGTGTATATATTTATATATGTTACCAGTATCTCTGCCTTTGTTTGAAACTAACTGCCACAAAAAAAGTGGTGGAAATGGAAAATAATGTCAATGGAACTTTTTGTAGCCTCCAAGAAAAGATTCAGATTCGTTTTGAGCAAAGGAACTCGGGTTGTTTCTTTAAGGTAAAAAGCCTCAAATCTCCAGCTGAGTTCAGCCTTAGGTTGTAGAGCTGCAGCATAGCCGGCGAGCTGGCCAGTCCCCCAGAGAGCCTGCGCTCCCAAGGGGTTGGATGCAGGGCTGGGATGCTGCTGTGGCCACAGAGAAGCAATGCCACCCCATTCCTCTTTTGGCTTGGACGCTTCTTGTGCACCAAGGGCTTGGTCTCTGCTTTGCCCAAAAGACAGCAGGGGGCAGAGGCGGCCTAGGGCACCCACCAGCAGTGGTACCTGGGGAGGGGTCCTTGCCCAAGAGGGAGACATCAAGGGGAGGATGGTGGGCTGGTGGTGGGAAAGGCAAATTTTCTGTACCTGCGGTAGCTTTGGAAAGGTAAGGAGGGAGGCTGCTAGAATGGAAATACAGGGGCCTTAACACACCTTCCAGCATTCTTTTAGGCTTCCCGATGAAAGTCTATCTGCTACACTATGACTAAAGCTTGGAGGAGTGTCTCTTACCCTCAGAGGTTGGCACCAGAAAGCCTCAGGTGTCGAGAGGCAATCCACCTACCTGTAACAAAGAGGGAGACAAGCTCATCACACACAACAACTGAGTTCTGCGAAAATCTGAGGTGCTGAACTACACACTGGTAAGGGCCATTGTCCAGGGTTTCCACGGGGGAGATCCACAGGGTGAGGGTCCTGGTGTCCATCTCTGCCCGGTTCTTGTACCGCTTGTGCTGGGAGATCTTCTTCCCCTCTGCATAAGCAAGCACTACGTCCGTGGTGTTCTTCTGCCAGTAGACCCGGTAATTATGTAGGCTTTCCGAGCTGGGAATTTCATGACAACAAGGCAGGCCGATTTTTTCCCCCGCTTTGCTTTTGATTACTTTCTTCTCCAGTGCATAACCTGTAGGTGGGGGGCAAACAAAAGTCAGTGATTCAGTGGTATAGTCTTGTGCCAGGACCTGCTGCACAGAGCTCACCTCTTTCGGCTCTGTCTGCATCCGCTAATGTACCTCATCACTCACCGAGCTGTTTACAACTTCAGTTCTGCACTGAGGGGAGGCCTACCTTGGCATTGCCTTTTATGTGATGCTCCAGTCCTACTTAGGATCCCGAGCTAGTGGGCACACAATGATTTCTGCATGGATTACTGAAGGCAAAGGCAGGAGAGTTACCTGCCTGAACAGAAATTTTGCTGGCCCCTTGAAAAAAAACACACCTCAGAGTAAAGGATTGCCATTATTCATGTAAAGGGATAAAACCATACATGCCCAAACTGCTATCTCTTCTGCTCTCCCTTTTCAGAGGTCAGTGTTTGGAAAGTCTGTGTCATCCTCCGGTGGGTTCCCTGCATGCCAAACAGTGGACTATTAGTTTGGGGGTTTGGGATTTTTTTTTGGAAGGTTTTTTTTTTGTAGAAAAAACCCAACAAACCTTTCAAGATCCCAGAAGCTAGAAGCAACCCTACAATGATAAACAAAGATTACAGCGACACTGTCATCAGCCTCCTAGTATTAGCATATGAAGAATTCTGCCTAGTCTAGCTGAAACAAATTTATATTTGTGAAGGCCCATGGGCCTCCCTTGGGATTACTTGCGAACCAGCACAGGCATTCCCCAACTCCTGCCCAGCGACCGTGTCGGTGCCATACCTAGTATACAGGCATGTGCCTACAACAACAAGCTGAGGCCCTTGCAAGGTGGAAATTCAGTACAACTTTGACCAGGTTAGCAGTAATCCCCCTGCTTCGCACTACGACTTCTACGCACGCTGCTCCCGCGATCAGCCCTGCTTTCCCACTACCGTTCCTCTTTCCAGTGGGTAGGCGCTCACAGGGGCGAGGACCTGACACGTGAGGGAGCAGCCTAGCAAGGAGCTCCTGCTGCTGCTGGAAGAGTGACCCAGCGCTAATGCATGGTCCTGTGCTGCAGCAAAGCCAGGGCAGATGGTTGGGCTTTCGCCTGGTTTTACGAACTTCAGGATGATGCCTATCCCTGCACACCCCGCTTTGTTGGTGCGGAAGGTCGGGTTTCTGTACATTTGCCCTGCTTGCCTCAGCCTCACTACCTTAGCACCCATCTCCAGTAGTGGAAGGGGGATGCCAATCTGTTGCACTCCATTGACTGAGAGCAGAAAAACAAGGAAATAGCCAGCCTCAGGACAAAGAAGATTCAAATTCCCTCTTTCTTCCCTGCAGAACAGGTCTCAGTAAACATGTCTGAGAGAGAAAGCAGGAAAGTCCTGACCAGGCAGTGTGTCACCGATGGGGAGAGTGCAGCATTAGCGGTCAGTGGAGGTGAGATCCCACGTGCAAAGCCTCAGCCTGAAGCGTGAATGCTTGACAAAGCTGAGCCTAAGAACTGCGACACACCCCCAGCAAAATCTGGCTGATGCTGGCTCACGTTACTGTCACTGCTAACGCCTAATCACAGCAATGCCGTACACGGGCACAGAGTGCAGTGCTCAGGGTGTGACCAGGGTGCTGTGACATTCAGATTCAGCTGAAGTGTCCAAAACAGCCACAAGCTTGTTGCCCACCAGGGCTTGTTTGCTTAGAGGTGACTCACAGACCCTTGGGACTGCAGCGAGACCCCTGCAGCATGCTGACCTGTGCCCAGCGGCACTCCCCGATGACATGCTTTGCAGTCCTCCAGCTGCCGGTGTCGGAGGGAGACAAGTAGATGCTCAGGCAGTAGCTTGGCACAGCCTGATCTTGAGGCTGCTTGATGAAGTTTAGCCCAGGCAGAGAGCCTGGGACAGAATGTGAAGTAAGTTTTACCCCCTTCCGCTGCGACACACCTACCCCTGTCCCACCCACACATTTTATATTAAATCCATAGGAAGCACATTGAAAAATTCTGGAGAGGTCCTGGCAACATTATGGAATGCTTTAATACTAATTAAATAGAATATGTAATTAAATGAGCAGCTTCTCATTTAACTGGTTTCCCTCCGCTCAGCCACTTCATTGGTCTTCCAAAGGGAAAGATTCAATTTCCCCCCCCCCACACCCTACCTGTACTTCCCCTTATAATGCATCGCAGACTATGAGCAACCAGACTGGGGCAGACCAGGAGCCCACTCAGCCCGCTGACCTGTGTCAGCCAGCAACTGGTAGCAAAATGGTAGAAAAAACAGTTCTTCCACACCGCCCGGGATAAAAACTGCCATGCCCTGCCAACCTTTGGCAGTCACGAATTTAGGGATTTCTTGACACTGGCTAGACTAGTTACTGCTAGAGCTACCCTTCACGAAGAGATCTTGCCCCTTCAGGAATGCACGTATATTTTTGGCTTCCACAACATCCTGAGACGATGAGTTACAAGGTTTGATTACATGCTGTGTGAAAAAGCATTTCCTCCTGTTCACCTTAAAAGCAGCCCACTTTAGGCTGTGATTCTTGAAGTTCCTCCTCCTGCAGTTCTGCATGCATTTGTGTGTGTGTGTGTGTGTGTGTTTTTTCCCTCGACCACATCTTCGCTTGTTCTCCCAATTCAGCTCTTACTATTGCTGGAGAGATTCACAAGAGCAGCCAAACTTTGGGATTGTGGAGCCTGATAAAGACAGTTTTCTATTTTCTTTTGCAGCAATAGGGGAAGAGTAGGCGTACAGTAAATGTCAGGGTGACATCGCATCATGAGTTGCATGAGGTTCTCCACGCCTTGCCCCTAAGAGTCTCCTTTGCAACCAAAAGGAGAACAAAAACCTCCTCGGCAGTACATGTGCAGGGGCTGGAAACTCCTGCTGATGTCACATCTACCCTTAAAAGGCTCTGCACCCTTGAAACTGCAACCTGAATGCTGCAAGCCTGAAGGAACCAAAGTCCACGAAGAGTCATTCAGCCCCACAAAAGTCCCCTTTCACTTTAAAGGTGAACGGCAAAGCAAAAATGAAAATTCAATTCTGTCCCATTTCTGTGCTGAATGCTCTCCGTAACCAGGCTGTGGGGGAGGTATCCACTGTGGAAATAACTTTTAATGACTTTTCTAGAAAAAAAGATCCCTCCTCTTCCCATGCCCCCTGAAACCCACCCGCTCCCTTGCTGTGCATGCACATCGCTCCATCACTGGAAGCCCGCAGTGTGTGGCAACACTGAACCAATGCAAGGGCTGACTTTCCGTTCCCCGGGCAGGAAAACATGTTTCATTCAAACTACGCCTGTGCTGCAGATGCCCCACACAGCAGGGCTAACAAGAACAGAAAGGTGAGTGTAGAGGAGAACTGTCCTTTCTTGTTTGCTCCGAGAGTCAGCAAGCAGGAGAGCTGCTGAGCCCATATCCCTATTTCCTTCCTCCTTGCCCACACCGTGTTTCAGAAATTCCCTGGCCACAGAGAGTATGGTTATCCTGACCACACATACAGTCAGGCAGTATGGGAGAGCAGATTGCCTCTGGGACAGAAGTCCTGCAGAGACATTTGACTGTAAAAGGCAGTAAAAGACCATGCCATGCTTTAGAGAAGCAGTGCTGAACTGTTGGAAACCTTCAGATAATTCCTGGTGAACAGAAACTCCAAAGCCATTCTCTTTCCGCTCCGTTCCCCATTTCGCTGCCTTTTGAACTGCTTTGCTTTTTTTTTGATCTTACCTTGAGTTACCTCGCTTCGCACACAACCCACTAAGCAATGCACGTGAAGGGAAAGGTCCTTGGTGGGCCTGGAGTCCTTTGCGCCCCTGTGTAAGCAGCAGGTAAGACAGTGGATCTGCACATTTTTTTTGACCGACAGTCCTGCAAAAAGCTCTGAAGCATATTGTCGGTAGCCCTCCAAAACCAGGAGGGTCAAAACAGCCCTGCGTTGCTTTTTTTCCATAAGGTCCCCTGTTCATCTTTGCAACAGCAGCTGGTCTCTCTACTCTTAAATTATTGGCATCACTGACTTTGCCTGGCACCGCTCTGCCAGGGCACTGACACCTTTCTCAGCCTCTGCCTGCACGTGGGCTGGAAGAAAGGACTTCAAGCAGCTCTGGTGTTGGTGCACACCACGTCGTGGTGAGGCAAGGGCACTTCTGGTAACCAGGCTGGGCCAGCTGAGGAAAACATGTCTAGTGGAGCTGTGCCTTTCTCCTGGCGGCCATCCCCTGGGGTCAGTGTGGGAATCACACCCGACAGTCCCCAGGTAATTCTGCAGCTCAGGCCCCTCATTTTCTGTGAATAGCACATTTGCCCCAAACTTGCAGAATTTATCCTTCGAGGACAACGCTGTATTTTGTGGGGACTTCTGAGCAAAACAGACAATCAGTTGAAAAATTGAGAAAGTCTTTAAAAGACCAGATACTCTCCATTGGTCTTTTTTTTATCCCAGGTGATTCTACCAGTGAGGAATCAGATTCTCCCAAAGCTTTTCATGGGGCTAAAATTCAGCAAACGTCCTACACTGGAATACGTGAAGAAATGCTTTGTATTTAAGCTAAATCAGTGTTGTGACACTGAATACACTAATCACAGAAAAGACCCCATTAGATGCCCAGGTAACTTCTATGTGGAGACATCATGACATTTCAGCAGCGCATAAAATCATTGCCTTCCTTTGCATTTTGCTGTAAAGACCCTGTGAAATGAGAAAGACGGGATGAAGCAAAGTGGGTGCTTGCAGACCCTGCTGGTTGTCCTCTTTAAGGAGTCCGTGACTGCATATTAACCTGGGCACGAGTGCCTGGCAAGCCTCCTAGGCTCCTTCTACCCAGACTCCACTTCAGCAAGAAGAGGCATGCAAAGGGAGGTCTCGGCACACAGAGAAAGGAGGAGTGGCCCTTTCCCCTTGCACAACCCCAAGCCCAACCCTCCGGTCATGAACCACAGGCCTGCTGCTACCCTTCAGCTGCTCTAGGCAAAGCAGCTGCAAAACCAGTTTGCTTCACTCATGTCATGGTGACCTCTTGCGAGGTCATGTTCCCTTACTCATCCCAAATGCGGTGAGAGAGAGGAGCAGAAGAGAAGGCGTCCTGAAGAAAAACAGCAATGCACTTCATTCGGCAGCCGTTCCACTCAGTCTCGCTTCCCTGTATCCACTCACACTAGTCAAGCGTGCCCATGGCCATTAAGTGACGGGATTAATCCTAGTTTATGATGATGTCATGGCTTGCCTGAGGTAGGGAAACAGTTTAAAGAGGTTTTTCTAAAAGTTCAGCTCTGCTTGCTTCTGTGCCATAACCTCGGGGCACCCTGCTCAAAGCGGTATAGCAAGGGCATGGCACCCCTTACATGGCTTACGCACTTCTGACCTTCACCTTGCCACATTCCTCCTTGCTTCACCCAGCTCTATACTGCATGATTATAATATCCCCATGGTGGTTTTGTGCCTGACTCCTTCAGCAGCCTTCGTTCCATTTTAATGCTGTTTTGTTTCACATGCAAAGCCTTTAGTGAAGAAATCCTTGAAATCACGAAGCAGCTGTGAAAACCAGAGGACACCTTCCTGTGACAGAAAGTCAGCCCATCTTTGGGGGTGCGCATTAATCCCCTTTTTTTTTTCCAGTAGCATGTTAACTTGAGGCCCTATTGATGACAAATGAAATTATCAATTTTATCTGTCTCCCTGAGCATACTTTGATAAGCAGTGATGTACTGTAGGTAACACTCACTTTAGGGTGGTTCACAGGGCGCTCTCAACACATGCTGGTGTCCGATGTGGTCCCAGTTTCTTAGACATGCACTACTCCCGCTGAAGCCCTCCCTCCAACGACAGTTTCCTTTGCAGGTTGCAGACCGAATGCTCTGCTTTCTCCAGTCTTAATTGCTGCTCACCAGAAAGCAGATTTCACGTCCCCCTGATAGCCTTTTTGCCATGAAAGCCAGCAAGGCAACCCAGCCAGACGGGGAATGAAAGGAAGCGCCATTACTGAGTCACGACTCTGTCAAAAACCTAGATTCAAAGGGAAGGAAACTCCATTAATTATGAAAAAGTTCCATGATCTGCAATTAGCAACTGAGAAGACAAAAAGAAATCTGAAATACTTTGGTAAGGGGGCTCACTGCAGCGCTGGGGCAGCTCCAGCCAGCCGGTACCCCTCCCTCTTGCTCCTGCGCCCAGCTCGTGTTTCTGTGTTTCGGTACTCTTGAGATAAAGATCTACTGCTTTCTGAGTCACTGCTGCCCTGGCTGGGACAAGCCCACCGGCTGGGTATGTCCAGTCTGCTTTGTTTATAACACGAGTAAGATCGCAACTCTTTGCAAGTCAGTCGGCAAATTTCTGGCACTAGCCAGGAGGTCAGATCCAAGCAAGGAGCTGGAGATGAGATGCCAAAGTATTGGGGGTGGGGTGGGGACGATATTGTGTCTTAAGATCTTCCCCTTTGCTGCGGAGCCCTCCGCATGGGTGTTGCTCGGGGAGGAGAGGAAGGAGGCTTGCTTATCTCCTGTGCTGCATACTGGCAGGGACACCGTGATGGGGACAGAAGGACGTCTTTGACTTGGGGAAAGGAGCCAAGGGAAAAGTCTTTCTGAACCTTCCCCTTTTCTCCGTTCCCAGCACGTGGAGTGGGTGACCCCGCTAGAATAAAAAAGGGCAGGGGGGACACTAAATCTGGATGTCTTCAGAGGATTTGCGTATTTTAGTTCCTTTCAAGATCAAGTTCCTGCAACTGGCTCAGCACTCTTACGATTTCCCAGTTTTGGGGGCAGAAACTAGATATGGCGTAAGACAGTCCTTCGGGGGACATTTGTCACACACAAAGACAGAAATAAATTTGTTAATTTTTTCCCCTGCAGACTTTGTCTCTTGCTGACTGGATCACTTTGCACTTCCTCTATATT